GGGCACTTTATTATGAATCAATGCTTTTACAAACGGGGAGACTGAGGCTTGGGGACATTTAGCAGTGTATCGATCGATGGCCTCGCATCCAGTCCATGGTGGCAGCCTTAGGTCGGTCTCACTGGGAAACCTTTTGGATCACGCAGCATGGGTTAAAGTAGAATTCTGGGTTCTCATGTTCTGGCCGTAGGTCTGCCACCCACTGCCGTGTGTCCTTGGGCAAGCCCTTCGACGCCCCAGGGTACTGTCTTTGGGACACCAGATTATTGGACTCCATTTGTGGTCCCAACAGGTCAGTCTCAAGACTAAGTTTTCATTGGTCCATGGTGAAAGAAATAAAAATCAGTTAGAAAACAAGTCTGTACGTGGCAAAACAAAGCAGTGGTAGGTCGGGTGCAGTGGCTCATGCCTGTCATTCCAACACTTGGGAGAGCGAGACAGGCAGACTGCTTGGGCCCAGGAGTTCAAGACCAGCCTGAGCAACATGGCGAAACCCTGTCTCTACATTAAAAAAAACAAGAGTGTGGTGGTGGGCACCTGTAGTCCCAGCTACTTGGGAGGCTGAGGTGGGAGAATCGCTTGAGTCTGGGAGGTCGAGGCTACAGTGGTAACCCTGTGTCATTCCCAACTCCCCTGTTAAAAACCGTGTTGGTTTGTGGAAGCCCTAAGTGTTGGGTCTTCCTGGATAAGACAATGTCGGCGGATGCTGAAGCTCTGAAGTCCTGAGACTGAGAGCAGGTAGGGGGGTGACAGGGAGGCTGAGAGTGGGTGGCTCCCTCTCCGGATCAGACAAGGGACCCTAGTTTTTTTTTTTTTTTTTTTTGAGATGGAGTTTCACTCATGTTACCCAGGCTGGAGTGCAATGGCGCGATTTCGGCTCACCGCAACCTCCGCCTCCTGGGTTCAGGCAATTCTCCTGCCTCAGCCTCCTGAGTAGCTGGGATTACAGGCACGCACCACCATGCCCAGATGATTTTTTGTATTTTTAGTAGAGATGGGGTTTCACCATGTTGACCAGGATGGTCTCGATCTCTTGACCTCGTGATCCACCCGCCTCGGCCTCCCAAAGTGCTGGGATTACAGGCGTGAGCCACCTCGCCCGGCCCGGGACCTTAGTTTTTACCCACCACCATTCAGTGCCCGAGGGCCTGAGCCCACCAGCCCACCTGCTGGGCAGGATTCCCGTGGGGTGAGGGCAATGTGCAGGCACTGGGATGTATTTTATTTCCTGGCTCCTTCCTTTTTATTAGGTTGGTGCAAAAGTAATCGTGACTTTTGCCGTTGAAAGCAATGGCAAAAACCACGGTTACTTTTGCACCAACCTAATAACATGTTCCAAAGAGAGCGTCCTAGGGATATATGAGGCCCTGGGCTAGATGGAGACCCACCCCTTCCTAGTCAGAGTGTAGACCAACCCGGGGGCAGTGAACAGCAGCCCAGACACTTGTTAAGGCCAAGGGAGGAGCTGCAGTTCAGGTGCCCGAGGGGGGAGAGGTCAGAGAGGGCTTCCCAGAGGTGGCAGTCTGTCTCCCTGAATTTGGGAGAATCGGCTAGGAGCACAGACCTGATGAGGTGTAACCCAGTCTGTTCAACCAAGGAAGCTGCAGGGGATGGGGCCTGGCTCCTGCCCTGGGTGTCCCTGACCTGGATGGCTGGGGCAGGCGAGGCCTAAGGGCAGCTCTGTGGCTTCATCCCCAGTCATAGGGTACCATAAGGAGCGCTGGGGCTAGGCTGGGGACACAGGTTTTGAGGTGGGAGGACGGGGGGAGTTTGACCTGGCTGGGATGGGGGCAACTGAGAGGAGGGGGATAGGAAGTCTCATCTGTCCTTGAATTGAAGAGCTTCCTCCCCTCCCCTCCCCTTTCCTTCCCTCCCTTCCTCTCCTTCTTCCTCCTTTTTTTTTGAGACAGAGTTTCACTCTGTTGCCCAGGCTGGGATCTCTGCTCACTGCAACCTCTGCCTCTGGGATTCAAGCGATTCTCCTGTCTCAGCCTCCTGAGTACCTGGGATTACAGGCGCCCGCCACCACACCCGGCTAATATTTTGTGTTTTTGGTAGAGACGGGGTTTCACTATGTTGGCCAGGCTGGTCTCAAACTCTTGACCTCATGTTCCGCCCGCCTTGGCCTCCCAAAGTGCTGAGATTACAGGCGTGAGCCACCGCACCTGGCCGAAAAGCCTTTCTTTTTTTTTTTTTTTTTTTCTGAGACAAGGTCCCACTCTGTGGAATGCAGTGCCACAATGACAGCTCCCTGTGACGTCAAAGCCTTGGGCTCAAGCAATCCTCCTGTCTCAGCTCCCCGAGTAGCTGGGACTACAGATGTACACCATCATGCTCAGCTAATTTTTTAAAGTTTTTTTGTAGAGATGAGGTCTTGCTTTGCTGCCCCGGCTGGGCTTAAACTCCTGGGCTCAAGTAACTCTCCTGCCTCAGCCTCCCAGACTTCCCAGCCAGAAACCTTTCAGAAGCTGGGAAAAAGAAAGTCACACCACCCATGCCCTGCGCCCCTGCCCTTCCCCAGCTAGACTCTGCCTTTTTCCATGGACAGGTAATGCTGTCACTCCGTGGCTGGGCAGCTGTCTCAGAGCCTTGTCTGTGAAGAGGGTAGCAGTGACTGCTCCCTCAGTGAGAGTAAACTGAGTCCTCCAAGGGTGGGAATAGGGACGCCCCAGCTTGTAGAAAGTCACCTCTAGGACTCATGGACCATGAGAGCAGCCATGGTTACCAATGGGGAAACTGATGCTCAGGGAGGGAGAGGGACTTGCTTCGTGCGCAGGTTTTAGGGGGGAGCCAGGGCTGAACACTCTGGAGAGTGGAGAAGAGCTCCCCTCTAGAATGTGGCCTAGCACTGAGGCGGCCCCAGCATTCACTGGTGTACCCTGGGCCTCAGTTTCCTCACCTGTGAAATGGGGTGCTAGTAGAGGTGAAACGAGGCTGTTGTGAAGAAGGGGTGTAGCTCACAGGAGGCACTCGTCAGCGCCGCTGCCCGTCCTGCCTCGTTACTCCAGACGTTGCTTCTTCGCATCCCTACCTGGCATACTCATGGAATTCTTGTTGGTTGGTGAGCAGCGTGGGTACTGGAGTTTCATGCCCAGGCTGGCACAGTGCTGCTTTTCTGGCCCCTGGAGGCTCCCAGACCTATGCCAGATAGATGAGTGGGGAGAGGGGCACTGGCATGGGGTGGCTGGAGCTCAGGCTGGCTGTTTCCAACTGCCCCCCTGCTGAGACTGGCCCGGTGCCTGCAGCCTGATGACCTCCCATGGGTTTGAGCTGTTTCTGTCTCTGTTGCCCACTGGCTAAGGGGCAGTTCAGTTGAGGGCAGGATGCAGCAGGACCTCTTCCTCCATCCTGACCATCAGCTGAAAGCATCAGAGTCCTCGCTGGAGACTGTGAGGCAAAATGATCCAAGCCGTGGGCTGGTGTGAGGACTTGGATTATCACCAGCAGGCCTGGGGACTTGTGTCTGGAACCTCAGTACCAGGCACAGGGCAAGGGGCACACTCATGGGGCCTGTGCCCAGCCCAAAGCCACAGCAGAGCAGTCAGCCTCCAGGATACCCCTGAGGCAGACAGCTTCCTGCCAGGTGGCTGGGTGGGCCTCCCAGTGTGTAAGGGGATGTCAGGGGCCCTGCCACCCAGTTCTTCTGGGGCCTCTAGGCAGGGGCAAAGCCAGGGCAAGGCAAAGGCAGCCGGAGCCGGCCTCACTCAAGCTCCCAGGTGAAGCTGTTAGAAGTGTTGTCCTCTGGGATTTGGTTGGACTTTGATCAGTTTTCCTCGGAGAAACAGCCATGAAGCACCTCTCTTTGCTCTGTCAAGCCTCCAGCAGAATGCCTCCCTCTGCATAGGCCTGGCCAGTGACCTGTGTGGAAGCAGGTGTGGCAGGCAAATCATGTCACCTCACCTCGAAGTTATGGGTGCCTGCCTGCTTCTCAGAGCTGTGAGCTCCAAGGAAAGGCCAGATGTCAGAATCTGAGAAGCTGGCCACAGAGAGCAGGGAGCACCCTGGCCCGTGCTGGTCTGAACTTTGGTCTCAGAAAATTGTTAAACTCCTCCAGACACACAGACGCCCCCAGTCAGAGTGACAAGGGGTTTCAGTAACAGCTACCCCTTTGCTATACAGTGGGGAAACTGAGGCCCAGAGAGGAGCAGCACACACCTCAGAACTGCTGGCCATCTCCAGAGCCCTTAAGGAGCCATTTTCTTTGTCATTTAGGGACCCTCAGCTCCTCTGCCATGCAGAAGTGACTGCAGTTCTGGTGCCAACCTGCATTTCCTGCCAAGAACGCCAACTCAGGTGGGCGGTAGCAGGAGACTGAGGCTGAGGCAGGGAGCAGTCAGGCAGTCATATTTATAACAAGGCCACCGCAGGAATCCCACTGCTCCAGGCAGGAAGGGATCCTGGGGCAAATCCCCCCACCCCCAGCCCGCCTCCTCGTGCTTGAGTCCTGGAATGTGGTGATTTCAACCCCCCCATCCCCCAATAGCCTAGCCCTGTCGGGTTGGGGCTTGGACTAGTGTGTTCAAATCCTGGCGGGGTGCCCTGCTCTGTAGAACGAGGAGAAGGTGGCGCCTTGCAGAGTGATCGTGGGGACCACGTGAGTTCCATGTGCCGTGGTGAATAAGAAGTATGGTGCTCCACGCCTGGTCCCCGGGGGTGCCCCGCAGTCCATCCCTCCGTCGAGGGTGCAGGCAGTTGTGTGTCTCCTGCTGGCAGGAGAGTCAGGGGCAGGGTTCGTGGGTTCACGTCGACTGGTTCACAGCACCTAGCGTAGAGCGGGCACGCTCTGGCTTGCCCTCTGTGGCTCCTTGCCTTTGTTTCTTCCTTCTTGCGTGTGAGAAAGATGTCCCGTTGTGTGCTGCGTCTCCTGCGGATAGCCTGGCACACAGTCGGTGCCCACATGACCACCGGACGCTGGAAACCTTCCCAGCGCCCACTGTGCGGACAGCAGCGCCCACCTCCCCACCCCAAATAACGCGGCGGTCCCTGTGCTTGTCCCGCAGACGCCAGCATGTCCCCGGACGCCACCAAGCCGAGCCACTGGTGCAGCGTGGCGTACTGGGAGCACCGGACGCGCGTGGGCCGCCTCTTCGCGGTGTACGACCAGGCCGTCAGCATCTTCTACGACCTACCTCAGGGCAGCGGCTTCTGCCTGGGCCAGCTCCACCTGGAGCAGCGCGGCGAGGCGGTGCGGCGAACGCGCAGCAAGATCGGCTTCGGCATCCTGCTCAGCAAGGAGCCGGACGGCGTGTGGGCCTACAACCGCGGCGGGCACCCCATCTTCGTCAACTCCCCGACGCTGGACGTGCCCGGCGGCCGCGCCCTGGTGGTGCGCAAGGTGCCGCCCGGCTTCTCCATCAAGGTGTTCGACTTCCAGCGCTCGGGGCTGCAGCCCGCGCCCGAGCCCGAGGCCGCCGACGGCCCCTACGACCCCAACAGCGTGCGCATCAGCTTCGCCAAGGGCTGGGGGCCCTGCTACTCCCGGCAGTTCATCACCTCCTGCCCCTGCTGGCTGGAGATCCTCCTCAACAACCCCAGATAGCGGCGGCCCCGGCGGACGGGCAGGTGGGGGGCCGCGGCCCAGAGACACAGCCCCCACGGACGAGCACCCCCAGATAGCATCTACCTAGATTTAATATAAAGTTTTATATATTATATGGAAATATCTATTATACTTGTAATTATGGAGTCATTTTTACAATGTAATTATTTATGTATGGTGCAATGTGTGTATATGGACAAAACAAGAAAGACGCACTTTGGCTTATAATTCTTTCAATACAGATATATTTTCTTTCTCTTCCTCCTTCCTCTTCTTTCCTTTATATATATATATATACACACACACATATATATATATATAAAATGATACAGCAGAGCTAGGTGGAAGAGCCTGGGCTTGGTGTATGGTTTCTGAGCTATGAACGCGCAGACAAAAGCTAATACCAGTCACTCGATAATAAAGTATTTGCATTGTAGTTTTTTTTTTTTTTTTTTAAACTGTCTTCTTTTTACGAAGAGGGGCAGGTAGGGTTTCAGCAGATTTCCAACCCGCCATGTACTCTGAAACTTCACCTCAGTTCGCAAGTTTTACTTTTATTGGATAAAGATAGAACAAGTTGAAAAGGGAGGAAAGTCACATTTACTCCGAAGTAAACCAGAGAAGGTTCTGTTGTTCCTTCCTGCCCACGGCTGTGGTGTGTCTCTCGGATAGGGATGGGGGTGGGGAAAGGGAGAACACACTGGCCACTTTATCATGGACAAGCTCTTCCAGTCTGATGGAGGAGGTTCATGTCCTAGCCTAGAAGGGCCCAGGCCCACACCCACCATCTTTGAGCTATGAGCAAGCCTGAAGAAGACGCTATTGCTCACCACTTTGTGGAAACAGCCTGGGGAACAAAGACTGAAATGGGCCTTGAACCCACCTGCTGCCTTGCAGAACCATCTCGAGCCCATGGTGAGTAGATTCTCTTAGGACCTAGACAGGCTATTTCCCACCCCCAGCCAAAAATAGCTCAGAATCTGCCCATCCAGGGCTGTATTAATGATCTATGTAAAGGCAGATGGTTTACTTCAACTTTGTCAAAGGGAAAAGTCGAGGTTCTGGAAGAATAAATGACTTGCTCATGAGACAAAATCAAGGTTTGAAGTTACATCAAATTGTAGGACCAGAGCCATATCATTAGATCAGCTTTCTGAAGAATATTCTCAAAAAAAAAAAAAAAAAAAGAAGGTCTCCTTGGCCAGATAATGAAGAGGAATGTTGCATTGTGTATCTTTTTTCTTGGACATTTATATTTAACATATTAAGTGCTCTGAGAAGTCCTATGTATTATCTTTTGCTGCATAATAAATCATCCCCAAACTTAGCAGCTTAAAATAACTAACATTTATTATCTCCCACAGTTTCTGTAGGTCAGGAACCTGGGAGCAGCTTGGCCAAGTGGTTCTGGCTCAGTGTCTCTTGTGAGGTTGCCATCAAGCTGTCGGCCAGGGCTGTAGTCATCTGAGTCTTGACTGGGTCTGGGGGACCTGATCCAAGCTCGCTCACGTAGCAGCTGGCAGGGTCCCTCAGGTCCCTGCACGTGGGCCTCTCCCCTGGGCCTTGCAGCATGGCTTCCCCAGAGCGAGTGATCAACAGCAGGGGTGAAGCTGCTGGGTTTTTGCTTTGTTTTGTTTTTTTGAGACAGGGTCTTGCTCTGTCAGCCAGCCTGGAGTGCAGTGGCCCCATCGTGACTCACTGCAGCCTCAGACTCCCTGGGCTCAGATGATCCTTCTGCATCAGCCTCCTGAATAGCTGGGACTACAGGTGCACACCATCCTGCCTGGCTAATTTGTGTATTTTTGGTAGAGACGGGATTTCACCATGTTGCCTAGGCTTGTCTTGAACTCCTGGGTTCAAGTGATCCTCCCACTTCGGCCCCACAAAGTGTTGGGATTACAGACACGAACTTCCATGCCCAACCTAAGCTGCTGTCTTCTGTAACTATATCTCTGAAGTGACGTACCATCACTTCTGCCATACTTACTAGTCATACAAACCAACTCTTTACAGTGTGGGAGGGATCACACAAGGACATGAATGCCAGGAGCGCCGCCACATTCTCCAAGAAGTCAAACCGTTTAACTTTGTTTCCCAAAGTTATTTACCAATAGGCTGCCCCCCGCCCCGTAATTCTGTCCCCATACTGAGGCATGCCGGTGCTTCTAGGCTGACCACAGCTGGCCACGCCAGGTGCTCCGCACTGAGGCCCTGCTCTGAAGACACTCGGCAGAGATGTCCGTCTCACTGGAGTGAATATTCAGAGAGCTCTTGGTCTAGCGGCGGGCTGGGAGACACCTCAGGCTCACAGGCAGTTTGTGGGTGCACAGCCAAAAGGAATAAGCAACCGCTTCCGTGGGAGTGCCGAGGAGGGGAATCGGGAGGCCTGCTAGGAGGGCTCAGTGCTTTGACCTCTGCCTCACAGGACAAGTGAGCAGCAAGCTTGCAGGCTAAGGTTGGCAGAAGGCGCAGGAGCAGGGTTTGGGGGTGGCAGAAACCCGGAAGCAGGAGAGGCCAGGCTGCCCGAGTTCAAATCCCAGTTCTGCCCCTCGGAGTGACCTCAATGACTTCTTGACATGCTTTGGTGTTACCGTTTGTAAGATGGGACTAAGACTGTCTCCACCTCAGAAGTAGGTACGAACTGGGAGAATGAAGCACGCCACGCAGCACCTGTCTGGTCAGCAGGACACGGCAGCTATCATTTTATTTATTTATTTTTTCAGGTAGAGTCTCACTCTGTGCCCAGGCTGGCTCACTGCAACCTCTGCCTCCCAGGTTCAAGCGATTCTCCTGTCTCAGCCTCCCGAGTAGCTGGGATTATAGGCGCGTGCCACCATGCCCAGCCAGTTTTTGTATTTTTAGTAGAGACGGGATTTCACCCTATTGGTCAGGCTGGTCTTGAACTCCTGATTTCAGGTGATCCACTCACCTTAGACTCTCAAAGTGCTAGGATTACAGGCGTGAGCCACCGCGCCTGACCCAGGTGGTATTATTAACACAGGGCCAGGGCTGGAAAGGTAGTTGGGGGGCCTCAAACACCAAGATGAGGAGCGAGGGTGATCTTCAGGGGGCAATGGGGAAGGTGAGCTGGTTTCTTAGTGGGCTAGGGAGATGAGCAGACCTGGGCCTCCTAAGGATCATTGCAGGGTCCCCTGAGCCCTGAACCCTTCCTGGCTCCCCTTGAGCCTGGTGCCCACCAATGCCAGTCTCCTGAGAGGGGCTCCTTGCCATTCCACTCCGCAATGCCTGGATGTGGAAGTGATCATTATGATCTGACATCATCGGGGGTTGAAGCCCCATTTTATTAGTGAGGAAACTGAGGCCTGGAGCAGGGAAGTGCTCACCTCAAGCCTGTAATCAGGGAGTGTGACCCAGGTTTCCTGATCCCACATCCTCTCCCTGTCTGTCCCCCAGATTCTCAGAGCGCAATCAGCCAGGCAGAGGACGTTGCTTTTTTTTTTTTTTTTTTTTTGGGATGGAGTCTCATTCTGTCGCCCAGGTTGGAGTGCAGTGGTGCGATCTTGGCTCACTGTAACCTCCACCTTCTGGGTTTGAGTGATTCTCCTGCCTCGGCCTACTGAGTAGCTGGGACTACAGGCACCTGCCACTACTCCCGGCTTATTTTTGTATTTTTTTAGTAGAAACGTGGTTTCACCATGTTAGTCAGGCTGGTCTTGAACTCCCGACCTCAGATGATCCACCGTCTGGGCCTCCCAAAGTGTTAGGATTATAGGCGTGAGCCACCATCCCCGGCAGACATTGCCTCTCAGAGCTAAGCCTTACTGGCCCTACCCTGCCCTTCAAGGAAAACTCTCCCGGTTCTGCTGCCAGCCCAAACTCCTACACCCCTTCCCATTGCAACCCCGAGGCCCAAACCTAGCGTGGGAGTCCCGGTGCCTGTCTCTGCAGTCTGTTGTCCTGCCCTGCTCAGGCCTTGGCCCTTCTGTCTGAATTCTGCCAGCTCATAGCTGGCTGCTCTATGTGAGAATGTGCTTGGAGGAATGACTAGTGACACTAACTCACTGCTTGGGAGCCCTTACAGATAAAGAAGCCGATGATGACATTAATGGCCATTTGTTCAAGCTCCCCCTGCCCCGTCTCAAATGCCAGTCTGGAGCTCTCCCCATGCCCTGGATGTGATTGGCTTTGTTGGAGTGGGCTTGTCCCTCGGGGGACAATATGTACACCGGAAAGACCGATTTCTGGGGACCCAGGGAACTCAACCTTGAAGCTATCTCCTGCTCCGAAGCTGAGGACTTCCCTGGGGTCCTCGGTTGGCCTTGAGTGTCAGGGAGAAGCCCTGTGGCTGCCTTCTTGAGGGTCTGAGAGTCCAGTTCCAGCCCCTCAGTTCACAGATGAGGAACCCGAGTTCTGGGAGTTGGTCTCCTGCTGAGTTCAGCCGTGGCGGGACCTGCCGTCCTCCCTCCTCTCCTAGTCTCATGGCTTCCCGGTAACTATGCGGTTTTCCCTAGACCACCCAGGGATTGGGTGACTCAGGCTCCGACAGAGACACTTTCTAAACAAGCCCTGGGTCTTTGCAGAGTGTTGGGGGGAGCCCGGTCCCTGCAGGCCCTGGGAGGCAAGATTGGTAGGACTTACTGCCTCCCAAAACCAAGGTGATGCCCTAGGAGGATTCCCGCAATTGACTAGGTTTTTGGAGATGGGTTCGTCCCTATATTCTCTCCCATCCATTCCGTATCCGCCCCCCAATCTCCGGCACCTTCCCTGCCTTAGTCTCTGGGTGTGTATGTTGAGGGCAGGAATAGAGGGGTTGACCGAAGGAATGAGAGGAACAGATGGGAAGCAAGCATGGAGCCTGGAGATTTGGGGTTCTTGTCTCAGAAAACTGAGGCCCAGAGAGGGGGTGTGAGTGACCTGAGGTCACACAGCATGCACATACATTATTCATCTCTGGAGACTTCCTGGTGCTCCACACTGCCATAGTTCACTCCCTGCCCATCTGTCCCCTCCTGCAAACTCCCATCCCACACATCGCAAGGAACATAAAAGCTCCAACTGCCTCTGGCTGCAGCCGCCTTGTTCTAGTCCCCGCCCTGCCACTCAGCAGCTATGTGACCTTGGGCAAGTTACTTGACTTTTCTGTCTCAGTTTCCTCATCTGCAAAAGTGAGCAACAATTATATAAGAGTATCTACCTCCTAGGGTTGTTGGTAGGATTAGGTGAACTCGTGCCTGTCAGGCATTCAGACCTGGCCTGTAAAGACACTCATCAGGTGTTCACAGGTCTGACTTGGGGGCCTGGAAGGCAGCTCAGGGAGGTGGGCAAAGCTTTGGTGTGGGGACTCCTCAAGTGTGAAGACTCAGATCCAGATCCCTCAACTTGCTGGTGGCCTTGGGCAGTCACCTGACCTGTGTGAACCCCTGTTTCCTCAGCTGCGAAGTAGAATCAATGATCCACAGTCGCGTCCCTCCCCTGACCCCTCTCCTGCCACCTCCATCCTCCACCCGCTGGGATGATCTGTACCCAAATCCAACCCGCCCCTCCTCCCAGTGCCCGGATGACTCCTTGTACCCGCAGGCTGTAGACCTGCCTCTCAGAGTGAGGCCCCAGGGGCATCGGGTTCTGCCCCATCGCGACCCCAGACAGCCCCCTTCAGACACCACACTCCAGGCTGATCTCTGTCTGCCTCTGTCTGTCTTTCAGGCCTTTGCCCAAGTTGCCCCCTCCTTTCAACCATCTCCCAGCTTGCCCCATCCCGGCTCTGACCACACCGCTGTCTACTCTTTCTTCCCCTGGAGACTCCCGAGAGCTAGAGATGTCTCATATCTTACTTGCCCCCATGGCCATGGGCCAGCCCAGTGGCAGATACAAAGGATGGACTCCCTGAATGTTTGTGGGATGAAAAGACCATGGAGGTAGTAGGTGTGGGCGAGTTATGTAAACTCTGAGGGACCAAGCATGCATGTAGAGGGGACTGTGTTTATTAGCATCATGTGTCTCCATGACAACCCCCAGCTGGCTTCTCCCTGCAGGCCCTGAAGATCACTCACCCCTCCTCCACCCTCAGGCCGGGGTTCTGGGGGGGTCATGCCCCGCAGCCTTATTCTACCTTCTTGAGAGTGTAGTGGCAAGAATTGCTGTTTTGCCGGGCGCGGTGGCTCAAGCCTGTAATCCCAGCACTTTGGGAGGCCGAGGCGGGTGGATCACGAGGTCAAGAGATCGAGAC